AGAGAAATGGAAATTTTAGAATAGCAGTTAACAAAATATCATAACGAGAAATGGAAATCTGGTAAAAACAGTTAAGGTCCAAACTCAGAAAACTTGTTCCGTTTCTGTTTCAAATCAGGGCACCTCATCTAAAAATCACACACACACACACACACACACACACACACACACAGAATAGAGTACGAGAAAGAAAAGAGAGATGAAATCCAAGATAATTATAAGCTATACCATTACAAAGATTCCTTCCCGCCGTGTAGGAACTTCCTCGAGTTTCCTCAATGTTTCATCACCTTTCGTAACTTTACCAAATATTGCATACTGAAATACATCCCGGAAAAACACAGTCACAATTTTATTCTAAATGATTCACAGCCATTATAAAACTTATCCGACATACCGTGCCATCAAGGTGAGGGGCATCTCCAAGAAGCATCGAGAAAGAAGACTGTGCACTATCTGGATCAGAATATCTGCAACGGAAAAACAACATAGTATATAAAACTCTGAAGAAAGAAGATTACAAAAAATCCAATAAATGTGTTACGTCATTCAGAAAGAAAAAAAAAAAGAAAAAAAAAGACGCATTGCCTTCCCATGGAAAGAATGCCTCTCACGTGTTTGACGTCACTGAATTCACCGACGATAGTTTTTTCAGCTTCTAATTTCTGATCTTCATTCATTGGTGCAGTTCTTCCGCTAGCAACATCCGCCACCTGGGCAACAAAGCCCTTATCTACCTACACATGCCACAGGTAATTTATTTGTTCCTCACTTTTTGACAAAGTAAAAATATTTAGATATTTTATGTATCGTAGTTTTCCAACAATACCCGAAAGAAATGATTGGTGTTATAGCCTCCTAGACGAACAAGCTTGAAAATGTGTTCGACTGTTTTTGGTGCAACGCTCGGGTAGAAACCAAATTCAATGTCCCCATAATTTGTCTGCATCTCAATCACAGATTTTCTATTAAAAAAAATAATGATAAAACGAAAGAAAAACCCTTGTGGAATAAACACAAACCAAACTTCTAATTCAAGGACCAGAATTTTACGAAAGTTTTGAATGGATTCCTACATAATGAAATAAAAGCAAGCAAATTCACACAAATCAATAATAAAAAATCAATCGAGAGATGTGCATATGTGAGTCAATCACGGCTCAAATATAGTCGAGATTCGATACATTACAGAGATTTTAAGCTCTCCCACTTAATTCTCACCGAACCGAAACACCATTTTTTAAAATTAAACCAGTTTTGTCTCCCATTTTAAGGTGTGATTAGAGTAGGTTACTTCATATCGAAACCGAAACAATTCAGTGATTAAGGACATCTCAACAATCTCACTGAAAAAAACAAAAAATCAAAATTCACAAGCATGAATTAGATTTCCTTACACACTTCCCAACTGAACAAATTCCAAAAAATTTAACAAAATCCAATGCCAATTCGAATTAAGTACACCATTATCTTCCAAAGTGCATTTTGTTCATCATTTTAACAATCATAAATTTATATCTCATTCAGATTACCAATAATTTCCAAACAAATAAAACCCCCAAAATCGCCATGAAATTAAATCAAATATTAGTTTACTAACAAGTCCAGTCAAAACAATGCACAAATCAATTTGAAAAAATATCGAGTTTCACCCACGAAAATAGATACTAACCAATCATCAATAATTCACACACACACACACGCGCCAAACACACACAGATAAAAAAAAAAAAAAAAAAAAAAAAAAAAAAACATGAATGCACCTGGAAGACTACACGAGTGGATCCAAGTTCAGGAACTGTAGCAATCGCACCGCAGAGAAAGCCCATGCACGCAATTGCAATGGCGATCATGGCTCTTTCGCTACTGCGCATTTCGTTGACTTTTGGCGCCCGATCTTTTCTACAGATTGTACCATGGGTTTTGTAAAGTACAACCCTTTATTGAGTTCTTCATCATCATCACCATCCAGCTTATTGGGTCGGGCCCAATTAGTTTCGGGCCCATATATTCTACATGAAAATATTGCATCCATTTATATCTATGTATTTAATAGACAACGGGCGGTAAATAGCATTCGACTCCCCTGTAGTTATAATTTTTTGCAGATGACCCCCTTGTGCTCGTAATATCAGCACATAACACCCTTTTGGTTGATAGGGGTAGCGTTTGTTAAATTTTGTCGGTTAAATTAACAGCGCGTATCGAATGTCAAAATATCATTCTTACATTTTTCCTTTAATTTTTTGCAGATTAATTTCACAAAATATAGCATCTACGAGACTATTAATCCGATCGAAATTCCTTTTTTTCTTCATTATTTGGGAGGTTTTTGGAACCCTACTTTGTCATTGATTGAACATTAGTGGAGATTGTGATATATTCATTCTCCAGTTATGCATTTCAAATTTCAATTTATATATATATATAGTCATATCATGCAAACTTTTTTCAGTAGAATAACACAATGTGGGACAACTCAATAGTTTACAAATGTTAATTAATTTAAAGATGCACTTTTGTAATTTATAAGATAGATTTTTTTCCTTTTCCAAAATAACACTAACTTATTTGGGATAAACATAAAAAATAAATAAAAATAAAAATAAAAGTCATAGTAGAAAAAAAATTGATTAAAATTCCCAAGAACCCATGTCCAATATTAACCATATCATTTATGCTACAAATTAAAAAAAATGGGATATTTCCTGTTAGGGAAGGACAAGATAAATAGATTGGAGTAGATAACTATCTAATCAAATTATTGCATGTACAATGTCACACTCACTACTTCAATTTATTTATTTATTATTTGTTAGTGGAACCATATTAATTAATTAAATAAATAATTATATATATTATAAAAATTGTATTAGATGGCCCTTAAAAGCATTTTATTTTAGGGTATAGTTTGAAAATGTGTGTAAGCATAGGTCGGTTGAACACAGTATTTGGAGGGATGATAATAATATATGCACCAAAAAGAGATATTCAGTGTCCTATATTAGTCCACGTAGTCTCATATAGATACATATATTTTTCAAATATTAAAAAGTAATAATACAATTAAACTATTAAAGGAATCATTTATTTGAACAACAATTAAAGAAACCGTTGACTCTGATCTACTCTTTGATTTAATGTTTGACATGGAAAAAAACAAGTTTATATATAATATTTTATTTTATTTCTTCTATCATTAATTCCAATAAATCAATAACGGAGAGAAATGTTAGGGCAACCCTCGACAATTTTAATTACATTTTCTTTTTTAATTTTCTTTTTTCAAAATTCGAAACAAACCGTGTTAATCATTTCAACATCAATTTCTTAACTTTCGGCCGTACATCTCTAACTAATATTTACATGTTTCGTTCTTTTTATTTTTCTCTCTGAATTTTCACTTTATTATTTACTTCAATTCTGTAACGATTAATTTCATTGTACGACAATTAATTTTATATTTGCGGAGTGAGTTTGTATTATTAAATTTGTATGAATATTGATATTACTAATATTTTTTTATTATAAAATAATTATAATTGGATTATAAGTTAATTGAACATTTACATCATTTCAACAACCTTGATGTGGATTTGGAACCGTTCATAGTTGCGTGTGTAAATATATGCCGCCTATTATTTTTAATTTTTTTTATTGCGAAAAAAAAAAGATTTATTTATTTATTTATTTATTTATTTATTATAGTGCATGTACATTTTTCTTTTCCAAGAATATTGGGGGAGTACAACCAAAACAAAGCTGCTTAAAATCTTAGGGAAATGAATAATGATGTACGAATATTAGACATTAGTACTATTTATATTCCTTTTTTCTTCTATTTGTTCTTTTTTGTTTTTTGCATAAATTCTTAAAGAATAAGATTCTTTGCACACTTATTAATAACACTAATAAATATGTATATATTTTAAGAAAAAATAAATAGCGTGACTATAATATTATTTTCATTAATTTTATTTCTCCTAATTCTCTCTCAAATTTAAGAATAATAAGCCAAACATTATGTATTGTACCAAAATGATTTGTCACATTTAACTATAATTTCAATTAAACTATTTAAAATTGATTTTACAATATTATCCATAATAAAATCATCACATGACCACAATTCCTAGTTATAGAAGTGCTGGACACGTGGATTGACACCATTGGTTGTGCTGTGTTGCCTCGAGATTAGTTAGCAAATTGTAAATTAATTGTTCTATATTTCTTAATTAACAGAGGGCGGCATAGTTAAATAAAAGCTTATTTATTTATTTATTATTTTATTATTTTATTGAGATTTGACTCTATACAAAATAATATATGAAAATCAGGTGCTTTTAGAAGTATTGTGAAACGTATTTGGCGTAACCCCATTGGCTGCCTTGAAATGTCACGGTAGATCTGTGCACCCGGCGGTGAGATTAACAAGTCTGCCGAATTTTTGAAAAGGCTGGGCTCAGCCAATCACATGCGCCGCACGAGTTGGCACTGTTTTGTCGCTGCACGACACCGTTCAGTCATTCACGCAATTAGTATATATTTATGGAACGCACCAAAAGAAGAGGATATTTATAAATGTACCCCAACCTTATAGCAAAAAACAAAAACAGGTACCTTCCTCTCATCAATGCATTGAGTATCTTTCTACCAGAAAATAATAATAATAATAATAATAATAATAATAATAACAATAATAATAATAATAATAATAATAATAATAATAATAATAATAATAATAATAATAATAATAATAATAATGATAATAGGGTAAATTACACCTACACCCCTGAGGTATACTAAAATAACTGTAAGGTCCTTGTGGTATTGGTAATTACAGTCACATCCCTGAAACAATTATCGAAGTCAAGATTTCATGTCCCGGGGACAGATATGCACTATATTTATTTTCCGCGGGGCCGTTAATGCTACCATAGACGAAAATTTATAAATATTATATGAAATAATAAGGACTTAAGAAATATTATGAGAGCTATGTCGCGCCGCCCCTTAGCTCTATGTTGTCTCCACCACTGTATGAAACTAATATTCCGTTAGCATCCTAACTGAATAACTTATCTAATGCATTCTACTGTTAGGGTTTCTAACAATGTTTAGGGGGTGATTGTAATTATTGATAATATATGGACATTAAAGTTATTTTAGCATATCTTAGAGGTGTAGATGTAATTTACCCTAATGACAATAATAATCGTCGTCATCATGATTGTGCCTTTTTCATAAGAAACACGAGTCTTGACAATCTTTAACCACGCGTTTTTATTGAACTTCTTGGCAAACTTAATATTCAACAAGATAGGGTTTGTTGAAATATTGATTATTAGTTAGGCAACAAAAAGATTTAGTATTTGAAGGTTTTGTTCTTTTTCTCATTAATTGTGGGGGTGGCGCCTAATATGGGTCATTGATCATAATTATCCAATTGAATTTTTTAATTGACTAAGTCATTATTATATTGTAATTACCCATATTGTCCAAAAATTAAAATAAAAGTTGGTGGAGCATATAAAGTGTGGGGATCAAACCCGAGTTCAACTCCTATTTCTAACCGGTTTTCTGTCAAATTTATCGCAGGTGGTCTGTTTATTGCAGTTTTAACTATTTTGCATAGTTTGTGGGCTATTGAATGCAGCGTAATTTATATATCGCGCATTTGTAAATGTTCACTTGTAAAAAATATAGTGGATCCGAGTATAATAATTTATAACTTATTCAGTATTCAAACTTGTTTTTTTCAACAAATTCAAGTTGCTTGGAGGCACATTTCCATCTTTGAGTGTTTAGCCTTTTTGACATTGACCAAAGCCATCACAGTCAATGTGTCCTTGTAGAGAAAAAATAGTCAAAATTATAAGCTGTTTTTATTTATTGATTTATTTATTTATCTATCTCTCTCTTCTTGGTGGCTTACCGTTTGAGGTTGAATCTCTTACACTAGTTTCTTCCTTTAATTTTGAATATTTAATGTCATGAATAGCGATAAAATTTTTTTACTAAATTATTAGTTTGATAGTTTAATATTTGATTAAATTAATAGAATTTTGCTAATTTTAACTGTATGATATGCCTAATTGACCCAACTCAATGGGCCTACAAATTATTTACCTACTGGGCCACGAGCCCAATATCGAAGACCACTATCACCCAGGTCCAATCACCTTCAAGTAAGGTTTGGGCCCGACAATCTCAACTAAGCTATAAATAAAGGTTTGAACTCATTCCTTAAGGTACGTCCTATTAACTGAGCAATACTATTAACTGTATTCTCTGGACTATTTCCACTATTAGCACGTCTGACTTGAGCGTCGGAGGGGTTTCCGCCGGCTCAACCCCCGGCCTAGTTCACGTGTTCTATGATCGCAGGTACCTCACGATCATCAAGTTGTCAATCTACTGATCCGCTTTGCTCTCCCAGTTCATTTTCTACACTACTCCAGGTGATCTAAACTTTAGCATCATCACTGTATTAATTTATAAAAGTTCAACTGTACGAGAAAAACTAATCGAGCCATAATTAATTAGGAATTAAGGGGATAAAGAACCTAACGTACTCCTTAAGTAGGAAAGTGCGACGTCTAAAACATGAGTTTACGTAAATTATTTAAAGTTTAGAAAAAAACATGTTTAAAACTTTTTTTCCTGATTTGCATTTCACCCCCAAACTTTACAATATTTATACAAGTGACACTAATTCCACATACAAGGAACGTGGTGGAAATAAAAGTCCACTTGTCCAAAGCCACGATACTTTAATCCAGCGCAAAAGTCCACGTGTCACCACCGTTTGTCGCCGGTGTTAGGTGGCCCCCTTCCGCCACCAGAGAAGAAGCGAACATAAGCTGTAAATGGGTCCCACACCACCTTCTCAACTCTCACCCGTAATATTAATATTATAAAACTTATTTAAAAATTAAAAACACCATTTTCCATTTTCTCAATAATTACATATAATCACTTTTTAGAACAAATATAATAATTATTTAATGACAATTATTTCAATTTTCATTTAGAAAATAAAATTACGGACTAAAGCAAATGCATATTTAAATTTGGTAGGCCACATTAATTGTCAGTAAAAAGGATATATGGTATTGCTATTTCTGATCACAGGTCACAAACTCAGATATTCCTCCTTCCTTTTTTATTTATTTATTTATTTTTGTGCACAAATTAGAATTTGCTTCCATCTTTAGATAATCTTAGGATTACCTGAAATAATTAACAACTAATGAAAAATTACAAATCTCACTAGATCACGCGCCGAGCCGAGCCGAAGCCGAAGCCAAACACAAAGCCAAAGTCCAAAAAAGCCCTGCTTTAATTTGCAGGAGAGAATCCAAAGGATTATTTCTCTTACAAGAACGCGAAGAACTGAAACTGAAGTTCTCTCTCTCTCTCTCACTTTCTCTCACACACACTTCACAACCATAAAACACACACACACACACACAATTAAAAAAAAAAAAAAAAATCTGAGTTTCCATACATGCATAGATACCTGTAAAGGGGGGCGGAAAAAAGGAAAGGGATTGTTTAAATTCAGATAGTTTTTTTTTTTTATCAGTCAAGGCTCCATCTTTCTTTCTTCTTATCCCTATACACACATATGTAAGTGCGCTTTATTGCTGCTTCATGAATTTGTCAATTCTTGCACTTTCTCCTTTTATCGATTTCGTCAAATCTTTGTTCAGTTCTTGAAAAAAATTGCAGCGATTTTCTCGTTTTGCTTCTGTTGATTGAATTCGCCTTGTGGTAATTAAAACCGTTTTCTGTGGATTTTATTGATAGATCTAATCTAATTGATTGTCGCCGCTGTAGATTGAGCCAATGCATGATTGGAGCTTTGGTTTTTTTTTTTTTTAAGTTTTTTTAATTTCTGGGTTTATTGTGAAAATTGAGGCAGCTGGTTGTTATCTGATCTGAGGTTTAAAGATCCAGTTTTTATGATTTTCTTGATTTCTGCATGTTTCCATTGATCGAAATTATCGATTCTTGTTTTGTGTTGATGTGTTCTTGAATCTGGGTTCATCTTGTATTTGATGAATTTGTGCAAAGATCGTTCCTTTTTTTTTTTCAATTTAGCCATTTTTGTGTTATTGGGATTTGGATTAGTGACGGTTAATGGTGTAAAGTTTGCCCCTTTTTTCCGCCCCCCAATCGTAAAACGGGTTTTCGAGCTTTGTTTGTTTGTTGATTGCACAGTAAAATTGATGATTCCTATGCTTTGTGCTTCATTGTTTTCCTTTCTTCCTTTTTATGTGCAAAGATTCCTTTTTTTTTTTTTTTTGGTTTTTTTTTTTGTTTTTCCCCTTCTTGCTGCACTATCTTGATTTTCTGCATCCAATGTTCGCAGAGAGAAAATCCGGGGTTTCGTATTGGCTTCTCCCGGTCCGAACCAATCAGTTATGTTGGAAGACCAACCTTGTCTCGTTTCGAGGGACTACCCAATGAGCTGCGATAGAGAAGGCAATAACAATTGGCACATTAATTACCGCCCCGAGAAAAACGAAGCCCATCACAGCAAACGCCCGTTAGAAACAAACGGTGACGACGAAGAAGAGCATATCGTTAAAAAGCCCTCGTTATCCGTTAGTGATCCGATCCCAACCGACCAATCAGATTCTCAGCAATCAGATTCGCAGCGCCACGCTGGCGATAATTCCGATTCGACTTCATTAATTGGAGCGATAGGAAAAGACAACTCGATAAGCTGCCTTATCCGCTGCTCGCGAGCCGATTACGGAGCCATCGCATCATTAAACAGAAATTTTCGTTCCCTTGTAAGAAGTGGGGCCCTCTACAAACTGAGGCGCCAAAACGGGGTCGTCGAGCATTGGGTGTACTTTGCATGCCAGCTGTTAGAGTGGGAGGCATTCGACCCGGCCCGGCGCCGCTGGATGCATGTGCCGCGTATGAACCCTAATGACTGCTTTATCTTCGCCGATAAAGAATCTTTAGCCGTGGGTACAGAGCTCCTCGTCTTTGGTCGCGACCTAATGTCGCACGTCATTTACCGTTATAGCCTCCTCACTAACAAGTGGACCACAGGCATGACCATGAACGGGCCCCGCTGTTTGTTCGGCTCCGCCAGCCTCGGCCAGCTGGCGATTCTTGCTGGCGGCTGCGATTCCCTAGGGAATATTCTCTCCTCGGCCGAGATGTACGATTCCGAAACGGGTGAGTGGAAGACCCTCCCGAGCATGAATAAGCGTCGGAAAATGTGCTCGGGGGTATTTATGGACGGGAAGTTTTACGTGGTTGGAGGGATAGGTGGGCTTGACTCAAAGCTTTTGACTTGTGGGGAGGAGTATGATTTGGTGACCGGGGCATGGACGGAAATACCGAATATGTCGCCAGTGTGCGGCGGTGCGGCGGCGAGGGATAACGAGCCGCCGGTGACTTCAGAGGCGCCGCCGTTGATTGCGGTGGTGGGAAATGAGCTGTACGCCGCGGATTATGCTGATATGGAGGTGAGGAGGTATGATAAGGGAAGGGGGGAGTGGGTTACGATCGGGAGGTTGCCAGAGCGGGCGGATTCGACTTACGGGTGGGGTTTGGCATTTAGGGCGTGCGGCGATCGGCTTATTGTGATCGGTGGGCCCCGCAACTCCGGGGAGGGGTTCATTGAGGTGAATGCGTGGGCTCCCGGCGAGGGGGGCCCGCCGCGGTGGGAGTTACTTGGAAGGAAACGGTCGGGGAGTTTTGTTTATAATTGTGCTGTGATGGGATGCTGAAAGTCGATTCTTTTACTAACGGGTAATTCTTCCGAAACTTTTTTTTTTTTTTTTAAATTTGTTATTTTATTGGTAAGAATTATGTGATGGAATCGAAGGTTGAGTATATTTTCTTTTTTCCCTTTTTAAAGTTGATGGATGTTTTCATATTCGGACTAGTCTTCTCCCCCGGTCGAGTGACGACGGAAAAGTTCTTGAAGTTGGCTTCACATAGCAAAGAAAATAGATTTCTTTTTTTTTTCCTTTTTTTTTTAAACAGAAACATATAGAATTTGGTGGAAACATGATGGCCAATGTAATGATCTGAATTTGTTGTTGGAATATAATGTACGGGCTATAAATCGATTATACTTCGACTTTGTAGTAGTTATATCGACGACCTTAATTCATGCACGATTGCCTTTGTATTGTTAGGGTCCTAGATTTGCATCCTAGGAAAGTTCAAACTGTTACAAATTTCTATAATCAACGATGAATCTTGTTCGGATTCGATGTTTTCTTGATGTTTAAAACAAAACCGAAAAACCCAATATATTTCTTTTATTTCTCGTATATTTCGGTTGTTTAAATTTGCGGGTATACTTGTCCACCACGTTGTTCGATTACTCTGTAACTTCATCGCGGTGGAAGTTTGTGCCGTGTCAGTACAGACAAACATCATTTAAGGTTCTTCACCTTAAAATTAGGTGTTCTGAATAAGATTTGAATTTATGGATGCTGGCAAAAGTAGTTACCTGAAAAACAGGATGCTTTACTCTTCATACTTAATGCAAATAGGATGGGCAAGAGAATATATTTATTATTGGTTTTGTTTGCTTTCTTGATTATGTATGGAACGGGATTTTCGAGTTATGTCGATTTTGATTAGAATCTTTTCGTTCCTATTTTGAAACTATTTATTTTTTCCCCAGAAATTTTCGACTTAAAAAACGTGTTTTCGAGTGTATCGGGAAGCTCTATGAAACAGATTGGAAAATGTTATGGAAAGTTGTTGTATAGAAAAAAATTGTTAAAAATATATTGAAATTGGTATCTTGCATAGTAATTATGCTGTTAATGAATAATGAATAATATATAATGAATAATTTATATCTATATATATAAGCTTTGATTTACATTAATCAATCTTGTGAGGGAGTTAATTGTATAGTTGGACTCAGTAATTGATTTTTATAGTCTAAAGTACCCTTTCTATATTTTTCTCATAAACTAAAAAAAATATATATAAACAAAAGGAAAAATATAAAACTTCATGATTTTTTTAATATTATGAAATTGTCAAAAAATTGGTATCGAAATGAATTTATAGGTTTCTCAAATTTTCAAAATGGCCCAATTTCTATAAGATCTATTCAAATTTCACTTCAATAACTTAACATTATTTTAGTTCCATATATAATACAATTTAGAGGTGAATCAAATCAATTTATTTGATATTCTGTTCGAGTTTGAGGTCAATTTATTAATATAAAGGAAAAGTTTCGGACACATATTATCGTTCGAAAGGTTGTGAAACTCCGCTCAAGAATATAATAATATGTACAAAAAATAAAACTAATCGAACTTGATTTGTATTCGGCTCAACTGAAGTTTGTTTGAACCCGACTCAATTGCTTATGAAATTAGGTTCAAACATAATTTTTGAAGCTCAATAAAAATTCAAATAAGTTTTGATGCGGTCTCACTTCAAAGCTACCTCGAGGCGAGAGGCTAGCAGCGAACTGCGGGGGGGGGGGGGGGGGGGGGGGGTCGGTCCCACACACACCAACTGAAGGGCTAGTAACGAAAGATCCCGATACTGGAACACAATTGGAGAAGGCCGGCCAAAATTAATATCATTGCGTTGTGTCTCTAAAGAGAGTTTCTTTTTCAGCCCATTCGACTGCTTAAGAAGTTTTTTGAACCTATATATTAACCTAACTGCATCGACTTAAATCGTCCTCGGAACGATTACAACCAATTGAAGTTGTTTCGAACCCGTTTCCGCCAACAACTTAACCCGATTTTGATTCGATTTGTACTTTTTTCGTATTTTATCAATAAACCATATGCATGTGGAGGATATATATACTTGTTTAGACTATATGAAATTTGAGATGATGCCTTCCCACTTGCCCACAACCCCATCTCTGTACCCTATATATATATATATATATGAGCTATGATATTTCAGCAGCATCTGCATCTCTCAAGTACTAATTAAACTATTAATTATGAATGAGTACGTGTTCCCGAATACAACAAGAAATCATGACTTGACTCAACTTGATGGATCGGTAGTTTTAATTTTAATACAATTTTTTTATTTTTTATTTAAATTTATACAATTTGATGTGAAGAAGACAGAAGACGACATGTGACCGACACTCTTGTAAAAAATATACATTGTGAAATAGAGCATTAATTCAATTTATAAAAGATAAAAATAATAAATTCTTCTAACAAAATATATAAATTAAGCAAATTATTTTTTTTATTTTTTCAAATAGAGCTAAAATTAATGTACCCAATTTGTCCTGTCCATTAAATATCTTGTGAAGTGGCTCTTGAGTCTCGTGAATTGTATTACTAGTGCAGCTACAAGACTTAACTACTGCAAATAAATCTATACAAAGGAATGGGTCAACCTAACTTTCGAGGCTAGATACAGCCGTACTAATTACCAAACCATTTGGTCGAGTTTGTCACACGTGATTTGCCTAATATGAATTATGTTTTCCGTATGGTTTGTAAACTATTATACGAAAATGTAGGTTTACCCGACCAGTGCACCTATATATATATATGGTTAATTGTGGGTTCCTTCATTATATAAAAAAAATGTATTAACTAAACGCATCGCTTCCACAAATTTATTATATTTCTCTAGTCTTTCCTTAGCATTTTATTTGAGATTTTGGGAAAAAAAAATTCTCTTTAAATAGTTGTCACTTTAAAATTCAAATAAAACATTTATTGTTCTAAAATTCGCCCTTCTCTTAATGGAATTAATTGTGAAATAATTAATATGGGAGGTTATTTTTATCATTTTATTATGATTTTTTTAGAATTTACGTAGGTTTATTGGTTTTGTTAATAGTTAATAGGGTAAATAGCACTTAACCCCCTTGTGGTTTGGACATTTTGCACATGATCCCCTTATGGTATGAATTTAGGCACATAACCCCCTTGTGGTTTGGACATTTTGCACATGACCCCCTTATGGTATGAAATTAGGCACATAACCCCTTTGTGGTTTTGAAATTTTGCACATAACCCCCTTCTGGTATAAAATTAGCACATAACCCCCTTGAATAGAAAATTAGAAAAGACTAAATTACCCCTATCAAGTCAAAAATTCTTGTTTCAATTTAAAAATAAATATTCTATATATAAAATGAAAAGCTTAATGTACTTTTTTTGTAAAAAGAAAAATATAATATATTATTGTTTTTTTTTTAATTTTAC